ACATATATTACACACACATGTATCTTTGATTTAACCAGGTAGATCTCCCTTAAATCTTGATTTTTATGGGAGACTTTAAAGTGTCCCTTAAGGAGATTTTAAGGTCTAAATTTTTTACCTATATATATTTATTCCACTCAGTTAATGTGTGATTTATTTATTTTCTATTATAAGTTTTATATCGTGATATACGTATATCGTTACCGCCATCCATCATAATGTATTTCATGATATGAATTTTTTGCCATATAGCACATTCCTACATCATATAATCGTATATAATTTACAACAAATACTAGTTTGAATTACATTCCTTGCTTCCATGACTTTGTAACTAACCAGTTTTTATTTATTTTCTTGGGGTAGAAATGCTTCTGAACTGGTAAACTAAAGCTGACTGGCTCCTTGTCTAATTCTGCTTCTTGCTGATTTGTTACATTTTTGCACAAATTTGCCACCAAAACACACTAAAAATCACTTCATTTTACATGTTTAAATCTGTACCAAAGCATGTCATGGTGTTGTTGTTCTTGGAGTTTCAGACGTCACTGATCATGTGACTCTGGCAGAACAAGTCAAGCTCCAACACTTCCTCTGAAACACTGTTGTTGATTTTTTTTATGGATCTTTTGTCGTACACTGTAGTTTACACAAGCTGTGCAAAGCTAGTCAGTGTTTTAATTTTAGTGATGTGTTAAATGATTTATTGGTAAATAATGAAACATTAAAATGTAGAGTTAATTTTAATTTAGGACAAAGACTAGGAGCTTATGTGACATATTCAAATCATCAGTTTTTAATCCATTGAAACACACTTAACTCACTACAGCTCTGTTTTTGTTTTGGTTAATCATTGATTAATTATGTTATTGACTAAAAGTCATATTAGTGTTTTCCAGTCTGTGCTAATCCTTCTTCATGTCATTTTTTTTCTCAGCTGGAGGTGTTGTGTTCAGTAAATATTCTGCAGTTCATCTTCATCGCTCTGAGGCTAGACGAAATCATCAGATGGCCTTGGCTGGTGAGGACCACATTTTCATTCAAAAACATGGTCCATAGCAGAGGTCTATAACCTTGGTCCTCATGRCTCACTGTCCTGCATGTTTGAGATGTTTTCCTGTTTCAGCCCGACTGAAATGAACGAGTCACTGAGTGGCTTCTGCTAAGCTTGATGCCATTCTGAGTAGGTAATTCAGTTATTTTAATTAGGTGTGTCGAAGCAGAGAAACATCTCAAACAGAACAGTGGGCACGAGGTTACTCCATTTATTTTGCTTTTACAAAGAGAGATGTGCCCTGATTTATGTGTTCAAACCCAATCACTACTATAAAACTTTGTTATAACATTTGTTTATGTCCTGCAGGTGGTTTGTGTTCCTCTGTGGATCCTCATGTCTTTCCTGTGCCTTGTCGTTCTCTACTACATCATCTGGTCTGTCCTGTTCCTCCGCTCCATAGACATCATCGCAGAGCAGCGGCGAACTCACATCACAATGGCGATCAGCTGGATGACCATTGTTGTACCTCTTCTCACCTTTGAGGTAAACAGTCTAAACACAAGCTTAGTCACTGTTTTGTTCAGGACAGTAAAGCAAATTTATTAGGGTGATTTGTTATTTGTCATTGTATTTTATTTCCTGTTGTAGCGTTTTTAATTTTTTATTTTCTGACAAATTCATAGTTTTAGGAAGATTGAGGGGCACATTCTGGATATATTTCTTAAAGGGATCCCCGATTAGTTGTAACATTAGACCTTATTTAATAAACATATATTATAACTGTAAAATAAAGAGTGTAAAAATACTGTAGGATGTTTAGTTTTTATAGTTTTTAAACTAAAAATTTAAAATTATATTACATGGACAGGGCCATTTTATTTACACACAAAGCATTCTGGGTAAATGATGACGTGGATAGGTCCTCRGTGTGAGCGAGCTATATCCRCCCTGAAGGTTAATCTTGGACAATATCTGATGATCGACTCTTTTAAATGAAACCAGAGAGCGTTGACAGAGAGGAGAAGGTAGAAATGACTCAGCCTGTAAATGGAAATATAGATGGAGGACAACAGAGCTGCTTCATGGAAGAAGAACCTCAGCTTAGCCTGTTAGCCTTTGTACTAGCGCCCAAGCTATATTGCCTTATATGTATTAGCTCGGCGCTAGTGCGACAAACAAGCTAAACTGAGGTCCTCCATCCATATTTTCAGTTACAGGCTGAGTCATTTCTACCTTCTCCTCTCTGTCAACGCTCTCTGGTTTCATTTAAAAGAGCTGATTGTCAGATGTTGTCCAAGATTAACCTTCAGGGTGGATATAGCTCGCTAGCAGCCTCAAACAGAGGACCTACCCACGTCATCATTTACCCAGAACGCTTTGCATGTAAATAAAATGGCCCCGTCCGTGTTATATATTTTTTTGAAAAATTTAAAAAACTAAACATACTAAAATTTTTACAGTCTTTATTTTACAGTTAAAATATATGTTTATTAAGTAAAGTCTAATGTTACAACTAATAGTGGATCCCTTTAAGGAAATTTCAGGACATTCTGGAAATATGAATAAACCCTGATAGTTCTAAGGCATAGTTGCCCAAAGTGGGGCCCGCGGGCCAAAATTGGCCCGCCAAGCCATTTGATTTGGTTCACCAGCAGTTGTTCTGGGTAATCTGTAATCTCCTGTCCTAAGTAGAAATACTATATTTCCACTTTTCAACCAGTGGTCCAACTATAGATACAAGGAGCTGATAGTCAGATAGTCTTAACTCATGGTACTCACTTTAACTCAGAATTATTTTAAGACTAAACATAAAATACAAGTAACTACTAAAGACATTTAGATTAGATTGAAGCACGCATATAAGACCACATATACTCAAATTTTCAATTATGAAAAGTCCCATGAGCCTTTGCTGCCTGAGCATTTGTTGAATTTTCTCCATGTCCATGGGCTGAAAAAACAAAAGAATGTAGGCAACTTCACTGGCTGCTAGCTTATTCATAAAAATAAAACAACTACCGGTACTATAAAAGTATTTGCATTTCACATATTATATTRCTGCATTTGGCCCACAGCCCTCAGATTGATTTTAATTTTGGCCCTCTCAGGGAAAATGTTTGGGCACCCCTGTTCTAAGGGCATCTAAGTGAGAATAAAGTAAAGACCAAAAAGGGTTAAATCATCTAAAAGCTGCATTTATTATATAATTTTATGTTTATGAAAACATTTTATTAGTACAATATACATTAAAAAATGCAAAGATCTAATTTGGTGTTTGGAATCATTTACTCCCTAACTTTTTATGAATAAATGCAAAAAAATAAAAATAAAAGGTTATTTTTTTGCAATAATGTTACAGTTTTGACCGTGWTGTTTGTCTCTTCAGATCCTTCTGGTGCACAAGCTGGACGATCACAACAGTCTCAGCTACGTGTGCGTGTTCGTCCCCCTGTGGCTCTCCCTGCTCACACTCCTGGCCACCACCTTCGGCCAGAAGGGAGGAAACCACTGTGAGTGTTTTACGACAGAAATGGGCTGTTAGTTGTGAAGCGACAAAAGGAAAGGAAAAGAATTGCAAAACACAATGAAACTGTTTATGGTGKAACAAAATAGATTTCCAAAGATATCCCAGTGCAAGTTAGTTTTTTGTTGCATTGAAGTGATTCTCTAAAATGAGGCTGCATGAGAAGATCTAACAGGTTACAGGTGCATCTGCGAAAATATTAAAAAAATACTACATTTAATGTCAATCATGTTTTCCCCTTTATTTAAAAAAATGGTATTTAACTCATACAGGCAGCAGCATTTTATGCATTTTTCTTAGGGATGCACTGATATGAAAATTTTAGCCGATATCAATATCCAATATAATTATTGCTGTTATGGCCGATAACCGATAT